CCTCTCCCACACTCACATCCTGCTCTTCTTCACTCCTACAAGATGGTATACCTCCTGGCCAGTGCATGAATTACCACCTCCCTTTCTTCACTGACACAAAAGTTCCTCAAAATATTCTTGCCATCTACCCAATACCTCCATTTCCCCATCCCCTACTCTGTTTTTAACTGACATATCCATTCGTTCCCTAGGCTTTCGTAACTTGTTTAACTTGCTCCAAAATTTCTTGACAGTGCCTCTCCCACTCTCTTCACCTTTCTTTTACTCTCCGTGTACTCTACTCTTCGTATAACACTTCTGCTTTGTAGCTACCTTTTTCTCTCTTATCACACCCTTTGCTTCATCATTCCACCAATCACTCCTCTTTCCTCCTGCACCCACCTTCCTATAACCACAAACTTCTGCCCCACATTCTGATACTGCATTTTTAAAACTATTCCAACCCCCTCACTACTCATACTTGCACCAGCCCACCTTACTGCCAATAGTTGTTTATGTCTCACCCGAACTTCCTCCCTCTCACTTGTTGTTGTCATTTTCCTCTTACTCTAACTGTAGCTACAACTAAATAATGATCTGATATATCAGTTGTCCCCTCTATAAACGTGCACATCCTGGAGCCTACCCATCAACCTTTTATCCACCAATCCATAGTCTAATAAACTACTTTCATTACATGCTATATCATACATTGTATATTTATTTATCCTCTTTTTCATAAAATATGTATTACAGGTCCGCCATCACAAATCCGGCAATCAGTTATTCAGCACTAATTTTGGCTTGCATAATTTCAAATTTCCAGGGTTGCCACACCAACCTGCTGGTACTGTTTGGTGGTGCTACTTGCTGCATAAGTCATTCCAATTTCTTTTTCTCCATTTATTGTTTTGACCTGCTTACTTTTAGCCCTAGCCATGGTTCCAGTGAATAAAAAAATGCTTCTCATTATGTAAAGCACCTACATAGTACATTAAAGATAAGGTGGCTTTGAAGCCACTGTCAGTTGCCATGAGCTCAGTCTCATGAAGCAGGAGAATATGCTTTATTATTATGCTAATATCAACACTACAGCTTATTTGCCTATCAAAACTGATCTAATATGACATAAGAAACAATATAAATAATATAAAACATGTTAAATACTCCAGAATGAATAATATTTGGCATAACACCGAGCAGTTCGACAGAGTTATGAAGAGGATATGGTAAACAAATACCATTCTCTTATCCTCGTCTTGGTGGCTTATATTAGAGAAAACAGAGTATAGCACAGGGCTAACTATGATATACACTCGTACTCCACCATAAACATGAAACAAAAAAGTTTTCTCTCTATAGATTATCACACATAGCAGCGTATGTGTAGAGAACCTAGGATAACCCAAAAAAAGTCAACGTGGCTTATTTTTAGTACCTGGCTTGGGTTAGCTATATATGATTTTTGGTAAATATTTGATTCCCAGCCAGGGTAGAAACATTAGGCATGTTTCTTTACACCTGTTGTCTATGTTTACCCATCAGTAAATGGGTACCTGGGTTTTAGTCGACTAGTGTGGGTGTTATCCTGGGACACTAACCTAATTTTCTTGAAATACTCGGTATAACAAGTGCCTTTCTATACATTAGTATGTCACTGATGTCAGATAGTCCTGTATACCTTGTACATGTAGTAAATAAAGATATTATTATTATTATTTTCTCAGTTGTTTGTTGGGTTATCTTATTCAAACTTGGGCAATGTATGATGGAAAGATACTTCTTCACGTACACCAAAAATGAAAGAAATCAGACCATAAATAGCGGAGTTCACTTCTCAGCCATTAGCGGTATATTTTTGTATGGTTGTTGTGGTTATATTCTCATTTTTTCGGTCTCATTTGATAGAATGGAAGATATATTACAGAAATAGATATGATTTTGATTGCTTTCATGACGAAAAGTACCTTGAAATTGCGCTCACAGTAGCGAAAATGTTCTATTCTTTAGCGAAGCTCAAGAGTAAACAAATGACGTCACCGTCCAAATTCCAGTACAGAGTCAAGAATGGATTGACATTATTTATACAATTATTACAATAATGCAGTAGTCTACATAACAGTAAATCTTCTATTTTTTTTTTTTCGTGAATAAAAATTCCAAATGTTAAGCAAGAGTAATATAAGAGGGGCCTGTAGCTGTGACTAATGAACAGATAAAATTTTATTTTAGTGGCAGGAATGTCTGCATTGTTTATTTTGAAATTGGCATCTGTTGAAATTTGTGTGAAATCGGCCAAATTGCTGACCACTTTATTGGGCACTTGAAATAAGTGAATGGGCAGTTTCTTGCACTCAGTTGACAGACTAGAAGTAAATAAGTTTATTCAGGTATACACAAATACAGTTACATAGATTATCATACATAGCAGTGTATTTATAGAGAGCCTAGGATAACCCAGAAAAGTCAGACAAAGTGCCTTATTTCCAGTACCTGGCTTGGGCTTGCCATATATGATTTTTGGTAAATATTTTTTTTTCTCGGTTGTTTGCTGGGCTATCTCACTGAAACTTGGGCAATGTATGATGGAAAGATGCTTCTTAACGTACAACAAAAATAAAAAAAATAAGGGAGTTCACTTCTCAGCCATTAGCCGCCTCTTTGCAGTATACTTTCGTATGGTTTTTATGATTGTATTCTCATTTTTTGGACTCATCTGATAGAATATATATTACAGAAATAGACATGATTTTGATTGCTTTCATGACGAAAAGTACCTTGAAATTGAGCTCAAAGTAGCGGAAATGTTCGATTTTTGCCGATGTTCAATGAACTGTGCAAGTCAAGTTGGTTAATTTTATTAAGTGTATTCTAACCTAACCACTCCGTAATTCGGCAAACTCAGTAATCCGGCACACTACAGGTCCCAATGATGCCGGATTTGTGATGGAGGACCTGTACTTATTACCAAACCTCTTTCTACACTTAGCTCAATTAAAGGCTCCCCATTTTCATTTAGCCCTGGCACCCCAAATTTACCTACTACTCCCTCCACAACATTTTTACCCACTTTAGCATTGCAATCCCCAACCACTCTCACACTTGGTTCAAAACTCCCCATGCACTCACTCAAAATCTCTCTTCTCCAGGTGCATATATGCTTACTATAACCCACTTTTCACATCCAACGTTTATTTTACTCCACATAATCCTTGAATTAATACATTTATAGTCCCTCTTTTCCTGCCATAGCTTATCCAACATTATTGCTACTCCTTCTTTAGCTGTAACTCTATTTGAAACCCCTGACCTAATCTCATTTATTCCTCTCCACTGAAAATCTCCCACCCCCTTCAGCTTCTTCTCATCCACAATCATCTCTTTCTTATCATCTGCACAACATCCATACACATTCAGACATCCCACTTTGGCTTATGGAGGAAAGATTCTTATTCCACTTCCCCATGGATATAAAAGGAAAAGTAATTTATTATTATAATAAAAAAGAAGCGCTAAACCACAAGGGCTATACAGCGCTGCAGGAAAAATAATAAGAACAAGAACTATTAAGATAAAATCAAAGAAAACTCAGATGAGTGTGTATAACTAAACGTGTACATGTATGTGTAGTGTGACCTAAGTGTAAGACAAAAGACACCAACAATCCTACCATCGTGTAAAACAATTACAGGTTTTCATTTTACACTCACTTGGCAGGATGGTAGTACCTCCCTGGGTGGTTGCTGTCTACCATTCATGTACAACCTGTCAGATACTGCAACATCATGGAATCTTGGTTCAGAGGACATCTACACAACCTTCCTCTATGACTAATTCGTTCCCCGGTTAGGACCTACTGGGGAATCCCGCGCCCCAGTGGCAATGTCGTCTACACACATCCTTACCAACTTTTGCCAGTATATGAGCACCAGCCTTCTTGCCTGTGCTCCAGTTTCTTCATGACTACGGTGCTCTTCACACCAACTCCAAGGCTGAGAGGCTGATTACCTCATATTTTGTATAGATTTCTACTGTCTTCCAATTATGTCCTTGAATTTGTATTGATAAAGTCACTGGATGGCAAAACATCAACAATAAAGATACCCAGATGTTGAACATATGTCTAATTTTCATCAGTATATGGAGAAAAGAACAGAGGTGAAACAAATGGTAGGGGGTGTAAAAGGGAAGAGCAAATATGTATCTTCATCAGCAAATTTTGCTGAAGAATAAGAAACCATTTTGAAAAGAGATTAATAAGTTGAGAAAGCTCGGGGAGTACATAAAGTTGGCAGTTTAGAATGAAAGATGTGAGTTACATGATGAGGTGGAGGCACTGGAAAGATGAAAAAATATTTTGAGTTCATAAATACTGGTGGCAAAATTGGAGCTGTGACCTCACACATGGGATAGAGAAGAAGAATTACTGTTAGGAATTGGGAAGAATCAGAGGTGAGTGCAGAGGAAGTGGTAGGATGAAAGTGTATACAGCAGCTGGTATAACTTTAACCACCTGCATTTTCAAATCTATATCCCATTGGGGGATATAGCTTTGAAATGCTGTAGTTCCTGCTTATTTTAAATATAATGAGGAGGTGAAAGGTACCTAAAGATTAGAAGTGAGCATGCATCGCTCCTTTGTTAAGGGCAAAAAAGATGAGAGTGCAAGAATTATGAAGAGTAAGGTGTATGGTAGAATTATTTTTGAAAGAGTTAGCGGAAAGATATAAAGTAAGATTACAGATGAGCAAGTAAAATTTAATAAGCAAAAGGGATACATAAATGTAAGATATTTTGAAACCCAATGACACAAAATATTTAACTTTAATACATTCAATAACAACTGTGCAAAAACTCATATGTACTAACAAGCAACCCCAGGTTCTGACCCAAATCTTTAACTTGCTAATCTACTGTAACACTGGAGCCCAGTCCTGGACCCATTATGTACCTCTGTAATCTTTTGACTAACACCCAGAGGATGGGTATGGGGTATATAATAAAGATATTAAACTACTAACCGGCAGTATTCATTGAACGTGAGGACAAAACAACGATCCTCAATACAAGCTACACTAAGATGATCTCGGTGCTTAGAAGCAAAGATCTCATCAGGAAGGTCATCTGGTCGTCTCCCTGAGTCAGTATGCTCCGGACGATAGTACCACAATATTGACATCATCATGTCAGCTGGAACATACAGAACAATTAATATTGGTAGAATCACCGACAATATGTTAGGTAAAAGGACACAGATGTAACTAATGTGACATCTTATTGTGGCAACGTTTCATTCTCCAGGAGGTTTATCAAGCCAATACAAACAATACATGGACACAGAGGATTTAGTAGTAGTAGTAGTATACTACTACTACAACAACTAATATTACACCTCACTCTAAGCCTATATATGTATATACCCTCTGTGTCCATGTATTGCTTGTAATGGTGAGTTATCGCTATAAAAATATATACTGTAGTTCCATACTTCATGACAGGTGTAGAAAAGTATCGAATAATGAATACAGAATGACACTTATTACAGCCTCTCCTCACTTAGTGATGTACTCTTTACCGACCACTCGAACTTACAACCAGCTCTCCAACCACTATGCAAACCTAAATAAAGCCGATTTCCCCTATTCTGTTTATTACAGTGTACAGTAAACTACTGTATAAACATTTAAAAATATACCACAAAGGTGACATTAAAAAAAATATCTAAAGAGGGTTGATACAAACCCACTACCAGTATGGTATGCTCCTCGCTCAACATCCTCAAGGGAGGTTCCTCGATGCTGGTGAGGGGCTCTTGATCTAGGGAATTGGATCTGTGCTCCGGTACCCTGAATTGAACCTGAATACCTTCCATCCTCCCCCCCATGTGCACTGTATAATCCTATGGGTTTAGTGCTCCCCATGATTATAATAATAATTATAATAATCCTTGCTTAACAACCAATTTGCTTATTGACCTACTCTTAGGAACAGAACCCCATCATTAAGTAAGGAGAGATTGCACTAAAAATACCTGCACTGATGTGGGTGAAGGGCTCTTAATTGAAGAGAATAGATTTAAACTCCTTCATTTCATCAAACTGATTATCCTCATCTCTCCCATTCTCCAAGCACCATATAAATCTTGTGTGTTTAGTGCTTCCCCATGAAGGAGGGGTGTTAATGTTGCAGTTTAAATTTTTTTAACTGTAGTGTAAAGCACCCTTCTGGCAAGACAGTGATGGAGTGAATGATGGTGAAAGTTTTTCTTTTTCGGGCCACCCTGCTTTGGTGGGAATCGGCCAGTGTGATAATAAAAAAAAAAAAAAAATAATAATAACAAAAATTTACCAGTTCACTTTCTTGAAATAAATATGTTAGACCTGGTTCGATCACTTTAGAGTGACTGAGTGATATCCCCAGTCTCATATCCTCACATCGTGCAGTAAGAACACTCCAAGAGAGGTAAGAACACTCCAAGAGAGGTATTCCCCATACCACAAAACTCCAGCCTCCTTTATTTCCATGCTCCTTCTAAGAGCCATGACCCCCCCCTCACTACAGGTCTAAAAGCCAGAGACCAACACCTTCAAAAAGCCTAGGAGCTTTACCTAAACACTCAAGAAGCCAAGTATTTGTAAGTTAGTACCCTGAAAAGGAGCTATAGATCAGCACCTTCAAGAACTCAACCTAGTGAAACATCATGAAAATATGAGATCAATCATTTTCTGAACTAGTTTGGATTTGTCTAATCCATCTAGGCTGGATTAAGTTTTCTTTTACATTAGGTGGCATAGACCAAGGGAGGTAATAATGGTTTTCAGGGGGAGTTAGGCTCACTGCCCTATCACAAAAACCAATCTATGAATGAGTGCTAAGAGATAAAATTGCTCAACATATGGAATCACAGCAATTGCACAACCCCACGTGACATAGGTAAAGCAGGTCACTCCTGCCTCCTACAATTGCTGAATCATTCCAACATGGTGTTTGATGAACTGGAAGATAAGACCCTTTGACAAGTATGATCATAGTGTAACAACACAAAATGGATACAAAGGGACTAATTGACAATGTAAGCAGATGGAAATTTTGCTGTACATGACAAGTAAAAAGTCTGCCACTAGCATTTGAGTTCGTCTACATGACTTACGAAATCGTAATGACACGATTGCAAACAAACCATACCACAGGTGGGGTTAGAACCCGTGATCAGAGAGTCTCCAAACTCCAGACCGTCACGTTAGCCACTGGGCCAGCTGGCCCAGTGGCTAACTAGGTGTATTTCTACACCATAGGAAGGTTAGCATAGGCACCACTGTGACCACAAATGCAAGTTTTTACAGATGAATCTCCCGTCACGGCCATGCTAGCGGGAGATTTGTCTGTAAAAACTTGTATTTGTGGCCACAGTGGTGCCTATGCTAACCTTCCTATGGTGTAGAAATATACCTAGTTGGATGAATCTTATTGAAGCTAGCTGGCCCAGTGGGTAATGCGATGGCCTGGAGTTTTGAGACTCTCTGATCGCAGGTTCTAACCCCACCCGTGGTATGGTTTATTTGAGTTTGTCTCACTATTACCATACAGATGATCAAGCCTTCAGCTTTCCATGCACTGAATAACCCGTACAGGTTTAGCACCTCTTAGATTTCATATCACAGCTGCAACTACAGAATATAAGGAAATTTGATAACTTAATACTGTACAAACTTACAAGTTTCTGGGTCCTCCCACAAAGCAGCAATCTTGGCAACAAAGGGAAGATCAGTTTTCCGTGGACCAGACCTTAACAGAACACAATCACGGACACGCACAACATCACCTTCCTTGTGGCGCATAGCTGTGTAGCATGTTCTAACAAGCTCCAGTTCATCATTCTGCAAGGCAGAAATTTCACAGTTGCTATTAAAATATATAAGAACAGCATACAAAACAAAGGTCACTGAAAAATAGAAAACTTTAACTTGTTTAATAAAACTGGTTTTATAGTTGATGAATATGTATATGAATGAACATGTATATGTGAGATTAGCTATTTGTGATCACATTACTCTTGTATCTACAACAGCAGAGATATGCTGAAATGACCCTTCAAAGGGGGTGCCTTGATGTTGATTAAGGCTCTTGATCCAAGGAATTTGAACCACCCTCCCCTTCTGATCAAATCTATCTCTCATTGCCCAGACACTATGATCCTCACGAGCTGAACACTTCCCCATATAATAATAATGGTGAGGGGCACAATGAGAGCAATTTCATAGACTATGTATTAAAAGACAATACATTAATGGGTAGACTTCTGGCTGTACATGTTTTCAGAGGAGCGATAGATATATCTGATCATTACTTAATGGTAGCTACAGTAAGAGCAGATCCAGCAACATAGCCAGGTGCATACACTCACATCTCCCTTGTCTGAGTTCACAGTTTTGCAGTAAGAGTAAGGGGTAGATGGCCTACAAGGAGACTGGCAGGAGAGGGTAAGCGAGAGGTGAAAATAAATGAATTAAGAAAGGAAACAGTTTTGATGATGTGGGAAAAGTAGGTAAGAGAAAGTGCAGAAATGAGTTGGTTGATGAGGTATGGTGTAAATTTAAGAATGCTCTGCTAGGGTGTGCAGCAGGGGTTTGTGGATATCAAAGGGTAGGTGCAGATGGGAAGAGGAACAATTAATGGAATGATGAGATAAAGGTGGTAAGGGAGGAAAAAAAATAGCCTATGAAAGGTTCTTAATGTATAAAAATGATAGACTGAAGGCAGAATATATGGAGAGAAAGAGGGAAGTTAAAAAAAGAGTGGTGTGGGAGCACAAAAGGAGAGCCAGTGAGGAAATGGGTGAGTCCTTGTCAGAAAATTTTACTGAGAATAAGAAACTATTTTGGAGAGAAAGATCCATGAAGTAAGGAAGCCTGGAGAGGAAATAACTTTAGCAGTTAAGAACAAAAGAGAGGAAGATATTAGATGGGGAGGTGGAGGTACTGGAAAGATGGAGAGAATATTTTGATAAGTTGTTGAATGTTTGTAATGCATGGGGCAGGGAGAGATTAGATGATTCATATAAGATCATTGACAGTGGAGGTAGTAGGGAAAATGAGTAGATTGAAAGGGGATAAAGCTGGGATAGATGGTGTTAAGTATTAAGACAGGTGTTGGAGTGGTTGGTTGGTTGATTTAATATGTGCATGAACGAAGGGAAAAGGGGACAAGAGAAAACGTAAGAATTGTAGAAGGATAAGCCGGGCTGTGGTTCATATGTCAGGTTGTGTGTGGCCAACAGTAACAGCCTGGTTGATCAGGCTCTGATCCACCATGAGGCCTGGTCACAGACCGGGCCACGGGGGTGTTGACACCTGAAACCCTCTCCAGGTATACCCGGTAACATTTATGGTAGAATTATTATTGAAAAGTTTAAGGGTAAAATAGAAAGCAGGATTGCAGAGAAGCAGGAACGATTTAAGAATGGTAGGGAATGCATAGACCAAGTGTTTACATTGAAGCACATAAGTGAGAAGTTTTCAGATAAAGGTAGGGAGCTGTTTGTTGCAATTATGGATTTAGAAAATGCACATGATAGGGTGGATAGGGGAGGCATGTGGCACAAGTTGCAAATGTATGAAATTATTATTATAAAAAAGAAGCACTAAAACAAATGTATGAAATAGGAGGTAGGTTGCTAAAAGCATACAAAAGTTTTTATGCAGAGTGAGGGTCAAGTAGGAACCGGGACAATTTCTCCTATGACAGTAGGGCTTAGGACATATAATGTCACTATTGTTTTTGTTTTAAAACATATTTACAATTGTGGTGTTTGAAAGCAGTGATGCTAGGTGTTTGGGAAAAGTTATCCATTGCCATTGCAGAAATTTGTCTATGTGCCTTGTGGCATAATGCAAAGGCACTGACTTAACATTAACACAATGTTCTCACATAGAGTGAAGTGATTGGGTCATTTGAGAGTTTTAGTCATCAATGTTTGCTGTAGCAATTTAACCCACACCACGAAGTGACATTACAACAGTCAACTAATACCTAGTACCTACTTACAGCGTGCAAACAGAGGCAATGGATGTAAGGAGACTTGCTCCGTACATCTCACACTGCCCATAAATGAACCCAGGACCTTTTAGTTATCCTTTTAGAGGGATTCTAAAGGCAAATTACACTGGTTGGTGAATGAATATGAGATATATAAAAAATAAAAATTTGAAAGTGGAACTTAGAGAAGAGCATGTATGAGAGTACAAAAAATCTGATGCAAGATCAATTGACTATCAGACTGGATGGGTGGTAGCAAATGGAGTAATAGGTGTATTTAGATATTTGGGGAGAGGGATATGTCATCATATGAGTCAATGAAAGATGAGGTGATCTATAGAATATATGAGGTGACGAAAATATATGTTTGTGTGTTGAAGTATCTGTTGACATACAGAAGAGTATCTATGGAGGCATAGTAGTACCAACACTTTTATATGGGTGTGAGGCATGGGTATTCACTGCTGCAGCAAAAAAGGATGATAGAGGCACTGTCATGTTTTTTGAGAGCAATGTGTAGTGTGAATATCGTGCAGATAATTTGGAGCGAAGAAATTAAAAGGCAATTGTGGATTAACCAAGGGTATAATTCAGAGAGCTGAGGAGACTGTTGAGTGGGATAGGTTGATGAAGTGTATAAATCTGGGATGGAAGGTAGAAGGTTCATCCCAGGAATGTTTAGAGGGAGAGGGGTCTTCCCAGGAATGTTTACAGGGAGAGGGTACAAGAGGCTTTGCATTTTAGGGGCTGGAGAATCCAGAGTATGTTAGATTGGAGTGAATGCAAACAAGTGGTTTTTATTGGATGTGCTGTTGGAGTATGAGCAGGGAACTTTTAATTAACCCTTTCAGGGTTTCCCCCGACTACTATATGGCGTACGCTCCAGGTTAATGACCGTACTAGTACGCCTAAATTCTGGCGCCTTCCAAATCTAGCAAGAGAAAGCTGTAGGCTTCCATATGAAAGAAGGTCTTATGTGTCCAGTGTGTGCAGAAAAAAAAATCCTGCAGCACACATGAGTAATAAGAAAAAAAAAAAAAACATTGACCCGTGTTTTTGGTGTAAAAAACCGCGACACTTTTGCTGTATTTTTTCCGTATGTAGTTATGGTTGGATTCAAGTTTTCCTCCCTGGTCTCTTTTATAGAAATGGAGAGACATATTAGCAGAAATTGGGAAGATTTTGATTGATTTCACAGAAGAAAGTACAGGTCGCCCCTCAACATTCGCGTTTTCAACTTCGCGGCTTCGAGACAATTTGCGAATCCCAACCGCCAAATTCCCGATCCCGCCAAATCCCAAATTTAAATTTACTGCCACGAGTCCTTACTACCCTCCCCCCGACAACCCCTGCAAAGCAGCCAGCCCATCCCTCCCGACCACTGTTGGTGAAGTTTTTGTTTTGTTTATTTTTGCTATTACACTACAGTAAAAATAATTAAACCCATCCAAGAGACTGCATATTAAATGGCTATTCTGGACAGTATTTTGGAAGGTGACTTCATTGTTTACTCTTGAACACAGCAAAAGAATCAAACATTTCTGCTACGTTGCATAATAATATAATATTAATTATAATAATAACAATAATATAATAATTAAAAACGATAGCATTTGAAGAAGAAATTGTACAAAAATTACGAGGGTCGCAGCAGTGGTAGGAAGGGTTGAGCACTGTCATGTTGGCTTTGTTATGCCTGAGTGAGTTTAGGCTCTGGTGCTCTTCCAAACATTCACAATAATTCATTGTATTTGGGATATAGATTTGAGTGTGACCAGGAGTGTAGAGGCAAGTGGTAGAAGACACGATAGAGGCAGTGGTAGAGGCAAGTGGGGTGAGCAGCGGTTGAGGCAGTTTAGAGGCAGTGGTGAGCAGTGGTAGAGGCAGTGATATTTACTAACATATAGGTTATAAAAAAAAAATAGAACATTATAATAACATTTATTATTATTATTATGATTATAGAATGGTAATTAATATTAACATGTACTATTATTATTTAAACAATATGTAGTAAATACCACTGCCTCACCCACTGCCTCTATCAATGGTTCTAGCACTGCCCACCCACTGCCTCTACAATTGCCTATATCACTGCCTCACTCCACTGCACTACCACGCCTCAACCACTATCCAGTCACACTCAATCTACAAGCACAAATACAATGAATTATTGTGAAATGTTTTGGAAGAGCACGGAGAACAATACTCACACCAGCAAAACAAAGCCACACTGACATGCGTCAACCAACTTCCCCCCCACTGCTTCAACCTCGTATTTTTGTACAATTACCTTCTATCAATTTCTATCGTATTTATTATTATCATTATTATTATTATTATTATTTTTTTCAACAAGTCGGCCGTCTCCCACCGAGGCAGGGGACCCAAAAAAGAAAGAAAATCCCCAATAAGAAAATACTTTTCATCATCTTCTACACTTTCACCACACTTCGCACATATCACTGTTTTTGCAGAGGTGCTCAGAATACAACTGTTTTAGAAAGCATACACATTAAAGATACACAACATATCCCCTCCAAACTGCCATATCCCAAACCCCTCCTTTAAAGTGCAGGCATTGTAATTCCCCATTTCAGGACTCAAGTCCGACTATATGAAACTAATACCGGTTTTCCCTGAATCCCTTCACTAAATTTACCCAGCTCACACTCCAACAATCGCAGGTCCCAAGTACCATTCTTCTACCATCATCCTATCTAACACGCTTCACAGCCACCTGCTGAAGTCCAACCCCTTGCCCACAAAAACCTCCTTTCCCCCGCTCTCCAACCCTTACGAGACGCCCCTACCCCACCTTCCTTCCCCTATAGATTTAAAT